TGCCTCGGTCACAGCCATATATTCTACTTCAGTAGTAGACAAAGCTACGACAGGTTGTAGAGTAGCTTTCCAACTAACAACACAACCGCCAATGCAAAATACATAGCCTGAAAGTGATCTTCTCCTGTCAAGATCCCCAGCGTAGTCTGAGTCTACAAAACCAACCAAAGTGTTATTATTTCTTCCAAACTCCAAACATGCATTTGAAGTACCTCGCAAGTATCTGAGAATCCATTTCACAGCCTGCCAATGTGCTTTACCAGGGCAAGACATATATCTGCTAACAACACTGACTGCATGTGAGATATCTGGACGAGTACAAACCATTGCATACATAATACTGCCGACTGCACTGGAATAAGGAACCCGTGCCATATAATCTTCCTCTTCATCTGATTGTGGTGATTGAGCAGCAGATAGCCGAAAATGGCTAGCAAGAGGAGTAGATACTGGTTTAGCATCTTTCATGCCAAAACGCTCCAAAACTTTTTCAAGATAATTTTTCTGGGTCAAGAATAACTTCCCTACTCCTCGATCTCTCTTGATATCCATGCCAAGAATTTTCTTAGCTGCTCCTAAATCTTTCATTTCAAATTCACTATTTAACTGCAGTTTCAAAGTGTGAATTTCTGACAAATTCTTGGCAGCAATGAGCATGTCATCAACATAAAGCAGCAAATAAATGAAAGAACCATCATTTAACTTCCGGAAGTAAACACAACTATCATACATGCTCCTTAAATAACCATGACCCAACATAAAGGAATCAAACCTTTTATACCATTGTCTTGGAGACTGCTTCAATCCATATAAGGATTTCTTCAATAAGCAAACATGGTCTTCCTTACCTTCAATTTCAAAACCCTGGGGTTGTTTCATATAAATTTGTTCTTCAAGTTCGCCATGTAAGAAAGCTGTCTTAACATCAAGCTGCTCTAACTCCAAATCATACATGGCAACTAAAGCAAGTAAAACACGAATAGAGCTATGTTTAACAACTGGTGAAAACACATCATTAAAATCAACACCTTGTACCTGACTATAACCCTTTGCAACTAATCGTGCTTTATACCTTGCATCTTCAACCCCTGGAATACCTTGCTTTTTCTTGAAAACCCACTTACAACCAACTATTTTCTTATTTGACGGCGGCTTTACAAGAACCCAAGTTTCATTACGATGAAGAGATTCAATTTCTTCATTCATCGCAATCAACCACTTTGCAGAATCATCACAAGAAACTGCTTCTGAATAGGTGGAAGGCTCACCAACTGCATCAGTTTCTTCTGCAACAGATAAAGCATATGCAACTAAATTTGCATATCTTTGTGGTGGTCGAATGTCTCTCCTTTGTCTATCTCTGGCTATGGAATACTCCTCTTCTTCTGAACTATCTTCAACAGTAGATTCAGGTGTATTTACTGGCACTTGTTGAATAGAAGATTTGGACTGAGAAGGACCAGAATTGCCAATATCAAGCTCCACCTGCTTCTGTGTACTATTAGTAGTACAAGGACTAGAAAACTCCTTCTTGGAAGATAACATAGACAATTCATCAAAAGTAACATCTCTACTGATCACAAATTTTGGAGATTTGGGATCAGGACACCATAATCTGTATCCTTTCACCCCAGAAGCATACCCAAGAAAAATGCACTTTTTAGCCCTAGGCTCCAATTTTCCATCATTCACGTGCATGTATGCTGGACATCCAAAAAATTTTAAATTGGAGTAATCAGCAGGAGTACCTGACTAAACTTCCTCAGGAGTTTTGAAATCAAGAGATGCAGAAGGAGAACGGTTGATAATATAACAGGCCATATTGATCGCCTCTGCCCAAAAGTCGTTTGTCAACCCTGCATTGGAGATCATACATCTTGCTCTCTCCAAAAGCGTTCTGTTCATACGTTCAGCCACACCATTTTGTTGAGGCGTCATCCTGACGGTGTGATGCCGAACAATTCCTTCATTCTTGCAGAATTCATTAAATTCACCTTCACAAAATTCCATGCCATTATCTGTCCTGAGCCGCTTAATGTGTTTTCCTGTTTGCTTCTCAATCAAAACTTTCCATTGCTTGAAAGTTAGGAAAACATCATTTTTATGCTTAAGAAAATATACCCAAACTTTTCTTGAATAATCATCAATGAAAGTCAACATGTACCTGGCACCTCCTTTAGAAGAAGCACGAGAAGGCCCCCAGAGGTCTGAATGAATGTAGTCTAAAGTTCCTTTTGTCCTGTGAACTGCCGGCAACTGGAAGCTAACTCTCTTCTGCTTTCCAATACTTTGACTACCAAGAAGATCTCGTTTGCATAAAATAGATAAGTCCTTCTCGCTCATGTGCCCCAATCTCATGTGCCATAATTTGGTAAAATCAGAATCAGACAAAGTTGATGTAGAAACAGCAGCAGCACCTGTAATAGTAGATCCCTGCAAAATATATAGAGTACCAGATCTGTGTGCCTTCATAACAACAAGAGCTCCTCGAGTGATTTTGAGAACTCCATCTCCACCTGAATACCTACACCCAATAGACTCAAGAGTGCCCAAAGAGATGAGATTTTTCTTCAAATCTGGAACATGTCTAACATCTGTGAGCGTCCTCACAATACCATCGTACATTTTAATCCGGATTGTGCCTTTGCCAACAACTTTACAAACAGCATTGTTGCCCATTAAGACAACTCCACCTTCAGTTGATTCATATGTTGAAAACCAGTCCCTATTGGGACACATATGATATGAACAACCCGAATCTAAAATCCACTCATTGTTAGATCTAAAAATATTTTCCGTTGCACAGAAAATGGTTCCATCATTCTCATCAGCTGCTATACTAGTTTCAGCGGATTCAGTATTTTTCTCAACAAATTTCCCCTTTTGTTTTCTTTATTTTTCAATTTAAAGCAATCAGAGATAACATGGCCCTTCTTTTTACAATAATTGCACACCACATTTTTATGTCTGGACTTGGATCTACTTCTATTTTCTGTGTTTCTCTTTTCAGATCTATCCCGAACAAACAAGCCATCGGCTTGACTCCCACTAGTTTCCCCAGTAATGTCCCTATCTATCTGCTTTTTAGATTTTAATGCAGATTTAATTTCCCGATACGAAATTGTTTCCTTTCCATAAATCATAGTATTGCGGAAATGCTTAAAAGACTGGGGAAGGGAACACAAAAGTAATAGGGCTTGATCTTCATCATCAATTTTCGAATCTATATTCCCCAAATCCATAATAATGGAATCAAATTTATCAAGATGGGAGAGTATAGATGTACTTTCAGACATCCGAAGCATGTACAAACTCTGCTTCAAATATAGCCGATTCTCGACTGTCTTCTTCATATACAAGGCTTTCAATTTATCCCACATAGCCTTGGCCGAAGTCTCCGTTGCTACCTCACGCAATACCTCATCGGAGAGATTTAAGATTATGCTGGATCTGGCCTTCTTATCCATATCGGCGAAATCCGCATCCTTTACATCTTCTGGTTTGTTCTCGATTCCGTGAATCGCTAGATCAACTCCGTCTTGAACAAGAATGGCCTCCATCTTGAGCTGCCACATTCCGAAGTTGACATTCTTGTCGAATTTCTCGACAACCGTCTTTGTTATCGTCATTGTTGCCACAAAATCTATAACCTGAAATTTGTCTCAAAAAACTGGCCAAACAAATATACAAGTCTCGTGAGCGGGCCCCACAGGGTGAGCGGGCCCCACGGGGATGAACGGACCTCATAAGATGAGAGGGCCCCACGGATAAACGGACCCCACAGGATGAGTGGGCCCCACAGGATGGACGGACCCCACCGGATGAACCTGTCTTGCAAAATATAACAACCAGCTCTGATACCAGTTTGTTAGGGGTGGCCCAGGAAATAGACAAATCCAAGTTAGGACAAAGTAGGCGGTATAACCGACCATATAATAGATAGGCGGTAGATACCAGCCATATAATAATTAGGCGGTAAAACCGACCATATAAAGACGGATAACAAAGCAAATAAAAGACACAGAAGATTTACGTGGTTCGGTCAAATTGACCTACGTCCACGGGCGAGGGAGGAGCTATATTTCTACTATGAAGAAGAAATACAAAAGACCGTAGGAAAGTGGTTCCTAGGCCAATATGCACTTACAAAAGAGTTTAGAAAATATTCCTAAACTCAAAACAAGAGAGCCTAAAATATTTGACTGAATGGGCTAGATGACTCAAGAAGCTAATAGCCCATATAACTCTCTTGAGTGGTGCACATCAAACGTTCAATGGCCTCTTCTATTTATAGGAATCAAGAGGGAAGCCTTCCGTTTCTGATCTTCGATGTGGGACGCAAAATTCTGCCATCCAAGGTCAAGAATTGCGGCTGCGTCTTGACAAATCAACAATGTATATATGGATTATATATGTGTGTGTATCGTCCAGTTGAAGGGGCCTTCGAAATAGTTGAAAAGCATGCACTACTACTTCAAAAATATTGAATATTTTATTTCTGGAAACTTGGGGATGGATGTTGTTATGCTGCAGGCATGACAGAAGACTGAGACCAGACCTTTTGTGAGGTACAATAATGTAAATTTGGTGAGTCAACAACTCTACATGGTGACTTCATAAAACTTTTCAATTCAATCTCATAATTTTCATACTCGCACTGTGAATCATAAGCTAGAGAATCAAAATATAGCCAATGTTCAAGGGCCTTGTTTTCTGGTCATGGATCGATAGTCTAATCTCAACTTCCCATTCTCCATCCAATCCTTGTACTTCCCCTTATATTAAAATTCTTTCTGAAGTAAAAGTATGTAAATACAACTACCTTATCAAGTTCAAGTCAATCTGTATAGATGCTATCATGTTGTTTGATTTGTGGTGTCACAAATCTTTAAATTGTTAATCTTTTCCTTTTATGCGTTGAAAATTAAAAGTTTCTAAATGTTACGACAGGACTTGCTTTGCGTGGTACTAAGGAAAAACTTAAGACACTTGCCCTTTTCATGGGCGTAGTATGTTGCACTACAGTGGTCCAATGTTGTGCTGGATCTGATGTGTTGAGATGGAGATCATTCTATGCAACTGAAGGCAACCTTTGGAAGGCACATTACCAGGAGGTATTTGATCATGGCATTCGTGAGGCTTTCTGCTGTCTGGGACGTGTTAAATACTTGTAAGTCCTAATGTTTTGTTCATTGTACACTTCATTATCTGATATTTTTAACTCTAGTTCTTTTTTTTTCCATGGCATAGAACTGCCTTGGAGGAAGATGGAATATATTCAGTTGCACAGTTACTTGGCGATCTTGTAACATATCGTGCAACAGGCACCGGACATCTGGAACTTTTGGCAGGTTCATGTTTATTCTTAGGACAACCGTACAAATTTGTATTAATTTGTTCTTAGATAACATGGATAAGAGCCCCTAAAATTCAGGTTTCTGCTTGTGCAGCTAGTTGAGTTTAAACGTGTAAGTTGACTGTCTACAATAACAGTGACTGTTTGTCCATTTATGTTCAGGGTAGATCACCAAATTCTTCTCTTTGGTTTAATTAATTACCCTTGACCCCCTTATAGTTTTACAAGCTACTTATACCCTCTGCTTTCCTGTGCTTTGGGCTAAAAGATAAGTTGAATAATAAACTAATGTACCCACCATAATCAGTTATAAACTTCACATATAAAGATTTTTGTATGTATCAATCAATTCAAATAACTACAACTTGGAGAACCACTAGGAATTGAAGAAAGAAAAATGTTATGTTTTCGCCACTTTAGACGCTCAAAATACTCTTAGAATTAAAACTGATGCACCCTCCATAGTCAGTTTTACTATGCCAAAAGTTTGCTTTTTGTGTTCAATTGAATTCTTGTTGTTTTGTATGATTCTGTGTCCCTTAATACGGTAAAACTGATTTCTTTTTTTTTTGGTCAGATTTACTGTTTAACTTACTTTTGGACTGAAACTACATGAGAAAAAGGTGTCTTTAAGAGCAAAGCCTAAACAATAAGGGGGATATTAATATCTTGCCCAAAAGTTTACAATGTATGCCACTATATGACACAATTGATATACATTGTATACTTATGTAGTTTAAAATGTGCAAAGTCCTTTTTGTTATTTCTGTGCAATAGCCTACATTCAAGTGATTAACTGCGCATGCAATCACCACTCTTTTGCACCATTTTTCTTCATTGCGCAGTTTTGTACACGTTAACCTTAAATTGTACTTCAACTGGTTGCAAAAATTGAAAAGAAGTTTTGTGGCTTCATACAGATGATAGATATTATTTTGACCAGTGGGACAAGCACATCAGGTTGTGCAAATTAAGAAAAAAATAAAGTTATTTTTATTAAAACCAATGGAAATTATTAGAAGTTTTACTTTTTTGTTGTCAAAAAAAGATATTATGAATTTTTTTGTTACAAAAAAAAAGAAGTTATTCGAAGTTAAAATAGTGGAAGTTATTGGAAATTGCTAAACTTTAGTAGTTATCTTTAGTAACGAGGGTAAAATTGGGAATATAAAACTTGACAAAAAAATTTTAACACCAAACCCATGGCTCATGCTTTATATACTGGAAGATGTCAACCTTTAGTGAGTTAGGATTTTGTGTCGCCTTAAGGTGCATTCTCTTAATTGTCCTAAGCCACTGATAGTCATTTAAGGATATGCTTTTCTCGGCTTAAATCAACTTATTGCTTAATTGTGCAGTGACTTTATTTGCATTCTGTCTTTCAAATGTTAAGCAAATATTGTTTCACCAAACTTTGTTAAGCATGTTCTGGAGTTTTCTAGCTTCAATTCCACTATTCCTTTGTGTTTTTTTCTTTTGGTTTTTAGTTTTACTTTTTCGAAAAAAATTCAGTTCATTTTGTAGTCTTCTCTGTGATTTCAAAAATTCAAAAGTTCAAATTAGTTTCCAAAGCTCAAAAGAAGAAATCTATACGAATTATCTGCATTGTATCATAAGCGAATCCAGGTGTTGATTGACAAACTAAATAGCACCATATCTTGGCCCAATGCATTTGCAAGGAACCAAGTAGCTTTTTTTTTTTTTTTTTTCCAACGGTATTCTCTTTATATATATATTGAATTTGATAATACAAGATGTCAGTTACAAAAGTGGACATTGGTCCTATTATCCTCCTGTATACTCTCTTTGAGCCACAAGGGAAACTTTGTTTCCATATTACATTGGAAACAAGTTTAGTTGCAAATTGTACCATTTTATGAGCACATCTATTTCCATCTCTATACACAAAAGAAAAAGTACGGTACTGGAACATGTCAGTCAATTGTCTTATATCTTCGATTATGGTGGCTATTGGAGGAAAACTATACAATCACTTCGGTTTTGCCCATATAGTAGAAACTTGGCAACAATGCATGAAGTAGAGTATGTTTTATGCCAAGATTTTCCTTTTTGTTTCCACTATAGAATAATGAGGAACATATTAAACAATTTATGGTAAAGTTTCAGGTGCAGATTTTTTGCTTCAATTTATTTATGATTTTTTTTAATGTGAATTTAAAAAGGTTGCACTTACTGTACATACAATGTTTTAAATTGGTTTTCTAAATCATAAAATTCATGTTCACAGTGCACATGGTTTTATATGGTTGATGCCTTTTAGTTAGTACATGACTAGAGTACCTTTTTTAAATAAAAAACCCTTATTCCAGTTTTTCTCTTAATATATTGATCGTTCTTCCTTGGGATGGTCTGTTCTTGCCAAGTGTACCGAAAGTTTGTACAAGCATTTTCTGTGCCACTAACCTTTGTCAATAAGACAACGTGAAGGTGTGCTCTTGGTGAAGATGAACATAGTCTAGTGCAAGTGCAAAGAATCCTTGTTCTTTAAAAGAATTGATTACACTTTCAATGCTGATAGGGGTTTGCGTGGATCTATGCTCGGTACTAACTTAAAGTTAAAGATTGAAACAGCACCTCTTTGGTATGCATTTCAATGAATACATTTGAAAAGAACCGGAGATAATCCTTAAATACTGATACATAGAGTCATTAGTATTTATTAGTCAATTGATTTTTTTGCTTGTCGTTTCTCTTTCATGTCAGTTTCTAATTTCAGAGTTAACCTTTGCAAAATAATGAAGAACTTTTAAACTTTGATGCAACTAAAATTTTTCCCCTTTTCCTTTCATTTTTTTTTCCAGGATTAGCTTTATTGCAAAAATGTAGACCATTCACTCAATCACATGAAGAGTCGCTTGAGATACCCCCTGAAAGAGTTCATGAGGCTGCTGTTTTTCATCAATTTGCTGAAGCTGCCTATACGGTATTGTAATAATAACTTCCTTAGCATGTTTTCAGAAGTTTTTGTTCCTGCATAAACATTGGAATTGTAATCTACAGGGTCTTTTACTTGATGTTGGAAGAAACCCATTGATGTTTCCTTGTGCATGGCTCTATAGGCAAGGAATTTTCAGTCTTTGGAGCCGTAACAGGTTATTTACAAACTTAATATTATTGTGTAAATTTTATGGGCAATTTAAACATAGGCTTCTCATAGAAAAAAGTGAAACACGCTTAAGCCACTTCTTTTTGTTTACAAGATTGTGTAGTTTGATTTACGATTTTTTCTTATGTTTAATGTGTTTCAAGGACGCAAGTTTCTTATCCTGTTTTGTGTTGTTCTTCAACTCCTCCTTCCCAAGTTTGGGCATGAGTTGAAAACACATAACTGTCTGGAGAAAATAGTGAAAAACTTTTGGGCCACCATATCAGTTAGTTACTTTTAAGGAGATAGTGGGAAACGTGTAAAAGCACTATTATATTTGGTTTACAAGGTTTTACAAGAGAAGGACCTTTATATATCAATATTCACATTTTAAGGTAAGTGGAAATTAATTTAGTATGGACTAGTAAGGCCTTTAAAGTACATTGAGTTATGGATAGTGGGCACTGTTACCATTGTTGGTTGATTGAACTGCTACTCTCTAGGAGGCCTGCAGTTGAAGGGGATAATTGGTGGCGAGGTCATGCAGCAGCCTTTTTGAAGCATGTCAAGTTGACACCAGATGCGCTTAGAAAAGGACGTATTAATCAAGTGAGTCCATATTAGTTCGTGCTGTGTAATCTGGGATTTCATAGAAACTTAACTGTTTTGGGTATTAAGGCCATTTTGTAATGTATGTACACATTTTCTAACTAGTTCATGGCGCTTTTTGCTTGTGCATTGGCATGTCAGGAAATTTGATAGTGATGTTCAATTTGGACTGTTTACCTCTTTTGTGTTAATTTTATCATATCTTAGTAGCGTTGTAGGCAAAATGCATCTTTCTCGGTTAAAATTTTTTTTTTGTTCTATATAGTTATATGATTTATTGTATCTGATGGATTGCAAAGGTTTCCACCCAAATTTGTTATCCTCATCCCCGTTTTTCTCCAGTGTTTTTGCCTGGCTACTTTTCTTGTTGACACAAGCACAACATCTCTCTCTCTCTCTCTCTCTCTCTCTCTCAACAAACACACATAAACTCTTCCTTAACTAACTTTTCTTCTCAAATTCCTTTTGGTCTTGATGTGGAATGAAAAGCAATCTATCAAATAGTTGCAATATTCTAACTTTACTTTATGGCCTGTCAGCCTTTTCTCACTCTTTTAAGTCTTTTAACAAGTTGATACTATCATTTTTCTACACTATTGTTTGTAAATGATGTTGTGATTAAAATACAGTAATAAAGTTAGTAGTTGTTATTTCTTTTTCAGTTTGGAAGAGTTTGTTTTTCCTTTAATTATTACTTTTTTTTTCTAAAAACTATTTTATGCACATAACATATTCTCTTTTATGCATTTTGTAGAAAGTGCGGAAATTATTATAATCTTTTCTTGGTAATATTTTTCTAGGGCAAGTGTAAAGCATCATATTTTATGATGGTTTTACACCATCTAAAATCTGTTGTGATTGCTGTTAGAGGAACTGAGACTCCAGAAGACCTGATTACTGATGGTTTGTGTAGGGAATGCTGCCTAAGCAAAGAGGATTTGGATGGCTTAATTAAGTAAGTTGTGGTTCTTTTGATCACTTGTTATATGCTGGAAGATGCTTGTCTGATGCTTGCCATGGGACAAGCATTGGAAATGTTGATAGGATTTGGATAAGTGAATAAAGTTCCTGAAGCACATGCTTAGTATATGTTTAGCCACCATGGTGATAACATCTTTTTCTGTTGCCCTGATTAATAATGCATGGTAGATTACTTTGGAAGTCCATAATCTGTTATTTGTGTTAATAGTTATTGTCTTGAATTTCTTTGTTCATTTTAGCCCTTAAACAGTAAATAGCAATTTGGAGTCCTCAAAGTTTTTTGATAGATAAATAAGTCCTTTAAACAACAATATTTTTCTATGGCTGACTTTCATTGCTTACTGTAAAACTTTTACAAAAACCTTTGTGTCTTTAGAGTGTTTGGAAGATGGTTAGTGAAAGTTTGTCACCCTCCACATGCCGCCCACCCCTGTCTCCGAGCTCCATCACATCCACCGCCCACCCGGCCAGCAACCACCACTACCACAGCCCCCCTGCCCTCTTTCTTCCCCTACCCCCTACCCCACCTGCCACACTCCCTCTTTCTCCTCCCTGCCGGCCACCCCCTGTCTTTCTTCCCACTTCCTTGTGTGCGTTTGTGTTTTTTATTTTTAATGTATTTTGTAGGGTGTTTTTGTAAAAATTGTAGGGTGTTTTTATAAGTATTTTTGTGGGGTGTTTTGACATGTTACTATACATGGCATATTAGAAAAACTACCTTTCTAGGACAAGGCAAGACATGCCAAGCACACTCTATATTTGGCATCTATTTGTGTGAATAATATACTATATGCGTGATGTAAAAGATGTCTTAAAATGATATATTTACTCAGCTATAAAATTGTTTTAAGAGAAGAATCACAAAACAACAAATAATAAAATTGTGATAGTTGAGCAGTACAAATAAAAGTAGATACTCTCTTGTGCCAAACTAAGTACTCTGTATTTTTTAGCTGGACTTGATTCTTGTATAAAGAGAGAAGTCAAACTGTGCCAAACATGATAATTGAGCAGTATAAATAAAAGTAGATACTCTCTTGTGCCAAACTAAGTACTCTGTATTCTTTAGCTGGACTTAATTCTTGTATAAAGAGAGAAGCCAAACTGTGCATGCATTCATGAGAATTGGAAAAAATAAACATGACAGCTTCAATATTAACTAATAAAAACTTGAGAGGGTAACAGTAAACCTAAACTTATATGGTCACTGCCTTTGAAGTGTCTAACATTTAAGAAGTTTACCACTTAGATGTTGCAACCTAAGGAAAGTGGATGTTGTGAGAGGTTATGATAGGATTGCACCACTATTTTAAGTACTAGCAGTGGGTAGGCTAAGTTTCCTCACAAAATACTTGAGTTTTAAGCGTAAAAATCATAAAAGCATAAAATACTAAGTTTCTTTCACGAAGTTTTGTGAGAGAATAAAAATCATTATTTTGAGTTTTAAGAAAGAAACGGTTCATCAGATGGCATTGCTAGTCCTCCTATTACTGTTGATTGTGTTGGCATTCATCATGAATACCATTTCTGCATTCTGGAGGCAGCTCTTATTTATATGGATCAGTGTTTTGCCATAGACACGCATGAGTACAAAACCACTGTCATGATTATTCTTGTGATCTATTTAGTGGACCTTTTTAGCCCTGTCACTCTGCTCTTCCCAATGTTTTGTTTGCTGAATTAGTAATACAACCACTCATCTTTCTTCATCTTTCTACTCAAACATTGAATTTTTTAGCAGCCAGTAATTTTTTGTGAGACAACTAAGCTTGTTGAAGTTGACTTTCATTTGATCGGGGAGAAGTTGGTTGAGCAAGTTTTCGGAACATTTCATGTAAAACCTACCAATCAATTAGTTATTTGTTCAGCACAACATTTTTTTTTGTTGGGGGGGGGGGGGACTATTGTAAACTACAATTTTGTGCTAGTACTTCAAGTACTGTAGGCCTACCAAACTGGTAGACCGAATTTTCTTCCAAAATACTGTTGATATGGACCTCATTTGTGGATAGACTCAGAAGGCAAGCAAGTAATTTTCTTCTAGAAGGATTTACTATACCAATTGTAACATATTTTAGGTCAAGTTAGTGTGTTTTAGACATACCTGCTAATGTTTCGAAAATGACTAGGTATTCATTAGTAGTTTTCATTGATCAAAATGTGTGTGTTTGTGTGTGTGAATAATATCCGAATTACTTGAGATATTTTTTTGGGGAGACGGTATTCAAACTTTTTCCTTAATTATTCAGTTCATTGATAAGGTTTTTATTTCTCTCTCTAATTTTTGTGCTTAGTGATGGTGCAACTACGACAATGGTTTCTTCATTATCATATTATGGTCACTCTGGTGTAATTGAAGCTGCTCAGGATCTTTACATGCAAATAGAAGGAAATTCTACTCAAGGTTCAGAAACTTGTTTTCCTTTCTTTCTTTTTTCTTTATTGACGAAATGATTCTTCTACATGCTTGATTCCCGATTCTCATTGTGTAGCATATTGCAATGAGATGTAAAATACTATATTTTGGGGGATCTAACTAGAATTGAAAACAAGTAGCGCCAGAATTTCTCTGTAATGAGTACACATATAACTATCATTTACAATTTGTTAAAGAAGAAACTGCATGGCCATATAGTTGCAATGGAGTTAGTTTGACCACTTTCTTAGCTCAATTAGAATTTTGATCAGAAACAAGTTGTTTGATGGGTTTGAGTTAAAAAGTTTTGTTACCTATCTTTTAATTTTCTCTATATCACTAGCTATTACAAGTAATAAATACAAAACATGTCGAAACCTTCTACTCAAAATTTTGACACTCTGATTAACACTGAAAGTTATTGTCAACAGCTTATTGGTTCTTATAGTACTGCTCGTTGATATTACTAGCTGCATTTTTTCAGTTTCCTTGATACCTTAAAAACCCTTTTTGAGAGGAGTCATGTTAGTGTAAAATTTATTTTTGAAGCTCTACCAACAGACTATTTTCACAGATATATCTTTCTTACCTTGACATTTAATTGTGATAGTTGAATAAGAAGAAAGAAGATGCACAAGGACATTACTGGCTTTGAATTTGGACATCTTAAAATGTTACTTTGTGCATGCTAGCAAATTGAGAAAGAAAATATGCAAATATATACGTTATATCGTCCTAGTAGGAGTATTTCTTGTGACTAAGATTTTTATTAAGCAAGAAATGCATTTTTACTCCAAGTATTGTCCTAAAAGTTATCTTTGAATATGTTGGTTCTACAAAAAGAGGATTATGGTGACTGTATTTGTGTACATGATTTTGTCATATCAAGATATGATTATGATACATGTAGCAAAATTATTCGATCAAGTTCGTTTTTGATAATACATTTGTTCTTCTTACTCTTTTACTAATTCAACTCAAAAAGTGCAGTTTGACAAGACATCTCCTAGAGTGCTGTTTATGAATTCTAAATACATGGAGGTAGTTAATTCTTGTAGTAATAGCTGGGGATATATAAGAGTTTTATTAGGTGAAAAGATTTTACATTATTTAATAAACAATCCAACAGATGTCCATCACATTATATTTCAACTAGCTTATATGATTTCGAAGAAAACATTTATAGGGAGAGGGAGAAAGTTACATTTGAGTGGGCATCTAGTTAAATCAAATTTTGGTCGACAACAACATAAACACAGTAGCCAGCAAGCATTTTACTAGTAGAGAGTTTGATATTGCTCTCTAGTTGATATAGTACACTGTGCAGAACTCAGTTTTGTGAGAGGATGATTTCTTGGTTTGGTTTTGTAAATGAAGATATTATGATCTTCTTTAACTTGATATGGATTTCCTGGTTCTGCTGGTAACATGATTTATTTATCCATTATCTCCCTGTTGTTCACCAACAAACTAAGAAAGAAAAAATCCATGTGGTCTCTGAGGCACAAAAGCTACTTATGCTTGATCCATTTGAAACCTGCACAAGTTGCATTAAGCTTAATCTTCTTCAGTTAAACTTGTACCTGGGACATGACTTATATATATGACATTAATTTAATTCACATTTTCTCCGAAATTAGGTGGTTATCTTTCTTCATTGTTGGGAGAAGGTTGTGAATGTGAAGGTTATAATCTTCGAATAGTGGGGCATTCTCTTGGAGGAGCCATTGCTGCAGTGTTAGGCTTTCGGGTACCAAAATTTCTTTATTTTCAATATTCAGTTAAGATCTATATTGATTATGTTAAGTGTTCAGCTTTTGAAATAATGACATAATCTGGAAGAAATAAAGAAAAATAGGGAAAAAATAATTTGTAAACCATTAAATGATCAATGGCTTGCTAGAGATTTGGATTTAATTAATTAACTTAAACAAATAAGTTTATCTAGTGCCCTTCCAAATGAGACACACAGAGGTTTTCGAGTGATTCATCTGGAGGTTGTAGTCATTTATGAACTTGGCTTATAAATAAAATACAGCTTGATCTTCTGTACTATTTGATTGAAGGGTTGGAAAACTTTATGCTGGCCATGCTTTACTGTGTCATAAGTTGGCTTTTCTGTTGTTTGATGAGGATAGCAACAACAGATATATCAGTTGAGGTTATAGTGCTCTGCAAAACATCAGGAATGCTGTGTTTATTGAGTGATAGATGTGAATCTAACTAGTGCAGTGAAAGTAACTTGGAGATCAATGTGGCTTTGCCCTCCTAGGATATCTTAACTACCATGCAAGTTGAATTTAAGTTGGATGCTTGCCTAGATTTTACAAGAGCTAAGTATGTTCAAAGCTTGTAAATTTAAAAACGCTTCATTGTAGCGAAAAAGGCTAAGTATCACTGTCCGTCCTTGTAGTTTATAAAAAGAAATGAACCTCCTCTTTTTAAATTATCATGGACCTTCTGCTTTCTGTCTTTTCTCTAACAAGCTTTAACATTATAATTAATTTCATTATGTTACTGTAGTTCCTTTCCTTTTCATTTCTTATTTCCTGTTCTTGTTTCTTGTTCCCCCTCCCTGTCATCAAAACTAGTCTTCAATCTGTTTCATTACCATCCCAATGGCCAACTTCCCTCCCCTTCCCTTGCCACTACACCTTCTCCATCTTGCAAGCACTTGCTAGGAGGATAGAACTGAGACACTAAATACGGTTACAGCTTTATGACTTATAAACTGTTGAGCCCATTGATTTCACCAGTGCACTTACCTCTGAATTTGGTACACGTTAGGGAATAAGAAGACCGTTGAACAAAAGGCTATAATGTGAAAATTGAGAAAATTGAAGGAAATCCTGAAAGCAGAACTGAAGCTATTGTGCTGAGATAAAGATTGAGTTTTGGTTGCAAACTGGTGTGGTTATAGACTCAACTCTAGCTCAATAAAAAATGGTTTTAATTCATTCAGTTACCTATTTGCACACTTCTATCTTCAGGAAATTATTAATTCACTGAATAACTGAATTGGATTGACTGTAAATTCCTTGTTTGTGGTACATTTTCTACCTCTATATCCGAAGGAAACTACTTGAGGATTTGTTACTCACCTACTCAAGAGAATAGTATCCTGGGAGGTGAGGTATTGACGATGCAAAAAGGTTGTCTCGATGGAATAATTGGTGGAATCTTTGATGTGGAGAGGAACTTTTGGTCCTAGGGTGTTTTTGTGTGGAGCAATGGTGGGAGAAATAGCTTGGGCAGGTATGGGGGGTACTCCGTGCAAGGGTGGCCGGAACTTTTTTTTTTTTTTTTTTTTCTTTTAAACAATGTTAGGTGAATTTCAGTATTTGTTTTTTTGAAGAACGGTGATTGAATATATAAATGGTTCATTGAGACCTCAATTGGTACCCTCCAGAAATACATCATAGGGGAGTCCTTATTTATTTCTAGTGGACTATGTGGGAGATTAATGATAATGAACCTAAAAACTACAATGCAAAGCTTTGGTATATAAATTAGTTTAAAGAGCCTTAATACTCACCATGCATTTTCTCAACCTTATGTACCAAAAGGTGGCATGTGATATAGAAAGCAAAAGTATTTCCAACTCCTACAAAAACAAAAAAAAAAAAATAGTAAATACTGATAGATTTCGTATACACGTTTTGTGCATTACCTGCTATTAATTCATACAAATTCCTCTGTTGGGCGGATTTACACTGGGGGCAGTGGGGGCCATTTTAATTTCTATAATACCTATAAAAATTTGATATAATTTCGAATGTGTCTTTGGAATTTTGTGTATTCATTGATTTTTATGCTCCTAAAGTTGCCTTTGATTTTACCTGTTATTATAGTTACCGTAGAAAAGGCTTTTTCAATTATGAATATAGTGAAAAATTGGTTATGAAATAGAATAGAAGACACTTGGATGAATGATTGTTTAGTTACTTTTATTGAGAAAAATATGTTTCGTGAAGTTCAAAATGAAAATGTTGTAAACTGTTATCAAAATATGAAAACTCGTCATGAGCAATTATAAATGATTTAGTTTTTTTTTTGAAATAAAATTATTATTACATTAATAATTTTGAGTTTGTCTTTTTATGTTTTTCATGGAATATATATATCATTTGTACTTGTTGGTGAATATTTTTTTTCTTAAAAAATTAGAAAAAGAGTAGGTAAAAAATTTTAAAGTTATTTTTGCCCCCACTGAAAATTTTTTCTGGCTCCGCCACTGTCACCTAGTAATCTTAGTCTTCAAATTCTGACAAACTGCTGGGGTGGTCTTTGATATTATGAAGACTGTGGGACAGATCCATATCTTTTCAACAAACTTAAAGGGACCAGCGTAATATTTACCCTTAGAACTATAATATCACAATTCATCGTACCTAAAGTAGTTCAAAGGCGTCTTAGCACTTACATTGTGTAACCTCAAACTTAGATACCAATAACTACAACATGATTTAAAAGAAAAAGTTTGTCCCACTCCGGGGAAGCGTAAGCTCATGAAATCATATTTCTGTACATTCTCTACATTACTTGATCTTGTTTCTTAGGTATGCCTCTTATGCTCATCTATGGCTACCGGAACTCTTGGACGAAAACAGTTTGAAACAAAAGAAGGTCAAAATATAGTGATGTTGAATTTGCTAATAGTTCTTTTATTGTGTTTATATATGCTGAGGCCAAGTATCTACCAATGAATCAAAGTACTTTCAATTTTTAATACTTGCCTAAGTTGTTGACAGTTAATTTGGAGCAAGTCATGGAAAAGTTTAGAAGTTTCTCATACATGTTCTTCATTCGTTTGCTTGAAGATTTGTAAATGGAGTATTACCCTTGATCTGACAAACATTTTGCCTTGGTTCTCTAACAATTGTCATCATATATCCTTGTTGGTAATGTTATCTAATATAACATTGCAAATAGAGGAACACACTTTCGTATTCTATTCTTGCATTCAAGAATGTAGATAGGACTTTTCAGAATTTACAGTATCATTGGCATCATTCAAAAGTGATGGCTGTGTTGGCCAGCCAAATTAAATTGCATTCATGTACTCATAATTCTCCTTATCATCTACCATGCAGTTATATCGCCGATACCCAAAGTTACACGTTTATGCTTATGGACCTCTTCCATGTCTAGATTTAAATGCAGCTGATGCATGTTCCAACTTTGTCACAAGGTAACAAGATTTCTATAATGTTTTGCAATTCTAATTGCATCTTGTCGTGCTTTATTTAGTGAACATTTTTTTGTATTGAATTTGTTAGTGAGAGCATGGACAGTTACGGTCTTAGGAGAAGGATCAAGATACCTCAGGCGCATGGCTAAGCAAGTTATGCTTCATAATATCTCTCAAATTTTAAATCTTAATATTTTCAAGTTTGGAATAAGTGATACTATCTTGTTGACCTAGTGAATTGGATTTTAGACAGTCATATACCAGAAGTTAATTAAAAGAATAAAGTATACATACATAGGAGCATATTCTGTCATGTTGGCAGTCTTAATGGCATCTTATTTCTGTCATTCATGACTTCATCCGCATGAAAACCTTGGGAATATGAGATAATGCATTACTCAATATATACATATTAAAAGTTATTAAGCGGCACGAATTTTGCTCAGACTTGCACATGGTGGTTGATCATTTCTTATATTTTTTATTTTTGAAAGATGTATATATTCAATTTTTGATTGAAGTTAACATCGCAAGTGCTCAAATGTCCAGTGTCATCCTTAACAATGAATTCTCAGCACGCCTTTCGGTTGCATCAATCATGAGGCTTCGTGCAGCTGCAATTGATGCACTATCACAAGATAGCATAGCCAGATCAGCAATTGTTTCACTGGCACACCGTTATTTTTCTCTCAATGGTTTCAACGTAAAGGACAACAAAATGCTTAAAGAGGTTTCTGATTTCAGTTCGCTGTCAAAGGTTGAAGCAAGGACAACACAAACATTGAGACAAACCCATCAATATGGTAATGCAGATTGAAGTAGTGGTTAATTTTGGTTGCTCTATGACTTTATAATTATACTAAAGGACGAATTGCACTCTTGCTTCCTCAATTTTTGGATCATAAACCAATATTTGTCCTAGAAGACTCGTTAAAAACATTTTTTTTTACAACTTAACTATCAGTTTAGGTGAATCAAATGCAACTGATGGGAATTGAATTTGAGCGTTAGCTTCAATGTCACCCCTCCATGAATATCCCATTTATCACTTCACAGCTTAAAGTTCAAGTGTGTTAGTTTCCCTGCCCAATGTTCAGTTTTTATCGCTTTGATGCAATCCTCTTGATGTCCCAATATTAGCCTTGGTTTAAGTATATCATTTACACATGGATAAACGAAAAGGCAATTATTCCCTCAGTGGAGGACTCCTCAAAACATACAGCCTAGCAGCACCAGCACCAGTCATTGTTTCTTCTCATTCCACCCACTGTTGGCACCACAAATCCTGCCTCTTCCAATAGTTAGGCAGCCATTAATGAGTAGACCAGAAAACTTATAAGAATAATATAGCCAACATGAACCATCGACCATGCTCTATATTTCTCCAGCTACCCTAGGAGAACACCAACAGTCATCATCACATGCTAAGCCCAATCAAAAATCATCCTACATCTCTTTCACAAGCTCCATCTTCGAGTCACTTCCCGTTCTCCTTTATTCCAACCCTAAGATTTACCTTCAACTCAAACGTCTCATAAACTTAAATAGTAATCAACAAAAGCCATCATTTCCTGTTCACTTTAAGCTCTAATTTTCTACTGCATTGACTGTTGCCTTTTTTCTTCTCTCTTTTGCCAATCTTCCTTGCAGCCACATCCATGTAGCACCTACAGAAAAGCAATAAGAGATGGGCAGATGCTCTTAGGTTAGGAAAGAAAAGAGAGGTAAGGAAGAGGAGGGTAAAGGTGAAACCAGAGAGAAGGAGAGGTAATAGGTGGAAGAAAAGCTGGGAGGGGCATGACATATTGGAAGCAAGAAGGCCAAGTAAAAATATTGAAAGTGTGGGAGTGGGGATTGATGCACCTGGACTTAATGGTCTAGTGATAATGGAGTCTTTTTGAAAGGGAAGCTATAATTAGCTTTAAATTAATTGCTAAAAGGAAAATGTAACATAAGCTAGATGTGGAATCGGCTCTAGTATTGAAGGGAAACATTCAACTTCTCATGCTATTCACAAGAAATTCTCTCTTACATCATTTCAACTGCACATCATATTCCGAGGGGGCCTTGTCTAATAGCTAAGGTTGAAGCCCCAGGATTTAGATGTACTGGGTTCAAATCCCGTTTCCCTCTCCCCTGCTAAAACAATTTTTTTAAAAAAAGGCACTGCACATCGTATGGGAGTTGAGTTGGCTAGAACAAAGCATTATGTACACTACTTACGTCCCTTCAGAACTGTGAGTTGATGTCTATGCGAAGTTTGCATGCTTTTCCTCTCTTAATAATTTGTCAGTTTTGTTGACTGGCCTTGGTTGCTCCGAAACAAATGAGAATATGGGATTCTCAAAAAAATTATGGGACCTAATTAGTATAAGATCTAGACATTAGGGATCAAAAGTGCAATTGGCTTTTACAAAAAACATCATTTAGAAGCTATCCTTCTATAGTCTAGATATGAAAGATCTTCATCTTAAAGTTCTCAATGTGATTGCAGGGAGGGGGGAAGAAGACCTGGAATCTTGTTGGGACGAAATTGGCAAAGAAGACAGCTCCAAGCCCGAGATTAGCTTAACTGATTCCAAACCTAATTACGATGATTTATTCAGTCCTCCTAACGTATGTCACTATGATGATCAGTTTAAATTAGCAACAGCCATTCCTTCATCAGAAACTCGGTCATCTCATAATGTCCCTGAAATGTTTGTACCGGGACTTGTTATCCATATAGTTCCAGTAAAAGAACATGTCCATCATCCTTTATTGAAACGCTTCAGTATTTGGGAGGAAGATTGTAGTTACAAAGCATACATTGCAAAACGAGAATCCTTCAAGGATATTATAGTATCACCATCCATGTTTCTTGACCATTTACCATGGAGGTACTTGCTTTCATCTCTCTCTCTCTCTCTCTCTCTCTCTCTCTTACATGGATTTTATTACTACTCAATATTTCAATAGTTGAGATTGATTCATTACGTGTCATTATTTTAAATGTAAATGAAATCCTTCCTAGCAAAACACGGAATGTGGAGATGTGGCCTGAACTTAGCTATGAATTGCCTCAAACATTTATCATTTCTGTTCTTGACGCACTTTATCCCAAGTTGGCCAAGTTTCTAAAATGGAAATTTTGTATTCCTTTTTTGTTATTTAGATGCTACAGGGCTATCAGGAAAGTATTAGACAGTGAAAACCTCCGCTCTCTGTGATCAATCACGCATGAAAGGTCAGTTTTAGACTTATGTTTTCTCATTGAACAATTTTAGTTTTAGATTATTGCAATGAAGAGGTGGTTTTATTGTGATTTGCCTATTTTCTTTAGTTATTTGTTTTTGTAAAAAAATCACCTACCACGCTGATAAGATTGCTTTGATAATCATTAGGCCTATTGACAGTTTGGTGGTTCCACTGGGTTCCAAGCTGCACAGTAAAGTTCCAAGCTTCTTATAAAAGCATGTGAACTTTAGAAGTAAAATATTACACACAAAATTTGTTGGAAACTACTACAACGTTACATTAGTGATATCAATGCCAGCAGGATGTCATGCTCAATATTTACCCTATTTGACTTGGGTAGGAATGACATCCTGTAAAGGTACGTAAGGGTATAGTTACATCCACAAATTGAGAAATGATTTGAAAAATGTTAAGTACAGTGAGAAAGTAAGATTTGGGTAAAAAATAAGAATGAAAAACCTTTGGTTACATTGGAGCTGTGATTCCCATACTTAACAGAAAATCTAAAGTTGGGTGGAAGTTCTCCAATAAATTTTGTGTTACATCTGACGGGTTTTTTCTGTGAGTGCAAGTTTAATTCCAATTTATACCCGTTCACTGCAAGTATACAGGCCAAACTAGTAGTTTAGGGCATTAATCGGGTCGATCCCATGAGGAGCAATGTCTACAAGTACTAGGTCCTTATTTTCTCTATTATTTAGACTTACAATGAATTTGAGCAGAGAATTTATATTAACTACTACCTACAATCTGATTTAACAATTGCAAGATACAAATGGAGAAAAATTCACTAAAGACTTGAATCTAGGGATGTAGATTCCACTTATGGCACAAAAGATCCAAATGAATGAATTTAACACTTGTTACTACTCTTGTTTAATTAGGGATTCATTTCCAAAAATACCAAACTCTCATTCTCATGATAATAATGATCTTAGAACAGCTTAGTTTTTCCTAATCTCTTGGTAAATAACTAACTCTGTTCTTGTTCATGCATGAAATGCAGATTTCATCCACTTGAATGTATGTCTATTCTCATGAACTTACAACTCAAGTTCTACTCATGTTATTCCATTGTTTTTACCATTTCTCAATGAGTAATACTGTGAGAACCCGAAAATTTTCACATTTTCTAAGCAATATTTTATTTCCTTGCCTATATTTTTATACTGTCCTTTGAAATATTAAACTTTTTATGTATTTTATAAGTAAGTACAGTTTTAAAATTATGAGTTAGTGTACGTTAGTTTGAAGTGCGTTATAGACGTGGGACCTGCTAGTGCGATATAATTTTGGTGACTAAGTGAGTTTTGTGCTAAGTGTTATTATTTTACAAGGTGCTAGGAGATAATTGGAGATTAGTTAGATAGATTACCATTGAGAGACAAGAGGATAAGTTTGAAAACAAAAGGTGCCAAGTGTCACGATTTGGTTGGGGTTGGACTTTGACTATTTTTCCTCCACCTTTACTAAACACAAAATTTGACCAAGATCATCTTCATCTTCTCCATAAGCTGGCCGAAAATTTTGAGGGAAGGAAAGGGAGAGAAACTTCATTTTTCACTTCAATTTCTTGCTCCATATTGAACTCCAACCAGAAATTTTGCAAAACCCACCATAAAAGTGCTAGGTAAGGTGGTTTTCAGGGTGTTTGTGAGTTATTTTGGAGGACAAAGCTTAAGCTACCATCTGCCTTAGGGAGATAAGGTAAATTTTTAAGAAACTCCTTCTTTACTTCAATTAATGGGCAATTTGTTGTTATAGTTGTTGAATTAGTAATTTTGTGAGAAAATTTCATGGGTTGTAGTGAATTTGTGGATATTTCAGTTTTCTTGGTGAAATTTCTGCCATAATATGAAGATTGATGATTAGTCATGGTTTGATAGTTTTGATATATGAAATATCTAGTGTTTAGATGGTAGTTGACTTGGTTTAAAGAAAATTCTGGTTTGTGGGTGCAAATTCCAGCTTAGGGTTCCAATGGTAGTAATCTGCCCTGTCTGCCCGAATCTGTTTGGCCATGTTAGAGGCTGAACAAGCCTTATCACAAAACATGAAAGTTGTAGGGAATGATGTTTTATAGTTGTCTGAAAAATTTCAGCTCAATCGGAGCAACATAGCCTGGGAAAAGATGGAAATACCCTGACTGCCATAGGATTAAAGTCAGTGAACAGTTTTGACAGTGCACCAATTTGATCGCGGTTGTTCACCTTGATATGTACTGAATTAGGATTTAGCCAAAACATGAAAGTCATAGTACTATGTCTTAGCTTTCCAACACCACTGAGAACACCTTAATCGGACTTCGGTAGCCTGAGTTATGGCCATTTGAATGTACTGCAGTTAACTAGCCTGTTGGTAGGAATCTGGTTCTGTAAATTGGGAATATGACTTAGATACACTGCAAACTGGACTAAGTGGTCTTCATTAAAATTGTAGCCCTCTGTCTTAGCTTCGAAACGGTATAAATTTTACCTCAATCCGATAAGCGTAGCCTCGGTTGTGTCCGTTACGCAAAACAACGTCAAATCTGTCTTTTGTTTCTTGATTCAACCTTTATTTCCGCACATGTTCCTAGCT